TGTCTTTTACTATTTATTTGTGTATTCATATTTAATTACTTTTATCACTTTTATAATTTTTGTATTAGAGTTGTTTCGGGTGTACGATAGATCCTGCTTTTCTTTTGTACGTGGTCTAGATATTGCATTCAAATCAAGAGAGGATTGGGCATATAGTATCCCTTTTTCAAATATAGGGTCCTTTTGTGCATCATTCTCCTATGAATTATTTAAGAAAATAAAAATCCATTATTTAGTATCACCCATGCTCCATGAAGCTGTACACATTATATCTGTACCATGATAGATGGAATGTAAGATTTTTAATAATGACATTAGTGTGCTATTGCTCTTGTTACTTTATGTTATATTTGTTTTCTTATTTGCAGTCTTTTTAATTTTCTTTGTTGTTCTTTGAGATACGTATTGCTGGATCTTTCGCTGTTTAGTGATGTAAGGCGGTCATCAGTATATGCTTTCTCTCATTGCGTTTATTTCCCAGCCTTATTTCTTGTCGATGCCTCTCTGTTCGTTTGCTTTGTGTGTACCGTAGCAGCCCTGTCACCCCTTATCTCTTCGTTCTATACTTTATCCTGTGCGATTCTCTCATCTCAGTCCTTATTTTCCTTATGGGCATCTTCTTCTCTTTTGTCTCTCTTCTCCCTCTCTGCTTCTTCGTTCGTCTCTCTTCGTGTTCTCTTGCTCTGTCTTGCTGTCTCTCTTCTCTTTCTGTCTGCTTCTCTCTTCTGGGTCCTCTCTTCTTTTGACTTCGTTTCGTGGTCTTCTGTCTCGCCTCACTCTCGTGGTCGAATACTCTCTTGCATCATTCGCGTGCTCACTGGTCTCGTCTCTTGTTCACATCACCTGCTCGCTCCGCTTCTCACCTGTACTCAAACGTCATCACTACCGGGTCACTGCTCACTCTCCACTCGCCTGGTGCTCCTTGCGGTACTCTCGTGTCATCCTCCTTCTCTCTGCTCTCTCTGCTCACTCCTCGCTCTATTCGGTCTCTCGTCCTCGTCTCTTTGGGTCTCTCTCGTGTTCTTTCTTTCTCTTTTCTTTCTCACCTTCTTCTCTTCTCTCGTCTCTCTCTCTCTCTCCTCTCTCTCTCTCTCGTCTGTCTCTCTCCGTCCTCGTCTCTCTCTCTGCTCGAATCTCTCCTCTCTCTCTACCTCGTCTCTTCACCTCCCAGCACCTCCTCCTCTCTATTCTCCCTCCGTCGCCCTCGTCTTCTTTCCTTCTCTATCTCCTGCCTCCCTTCCCCCTCCCTCCTCTCCACAGCCGTCATTCTCCCGCTTCTGCTCACTCTCCCGCCTCTCCCAGATGCTCTCCCACTCCTCGCCCATTCATCGCTCCTCCATCCCTTCCTTCCCTTCCTTTTCTCTCTCCCCTCCATCCAATCTCCCACATTCTCTTCATGCCCCTTTTCCCTCCCAATAGTGCTTAGTCGCTTCCGCTACCCGGCTATCACTCGGGCCATGTCACAACTGCCGCCTTGCTTTCGTACCCTCGTCACGCCACCATACTGAGCATCAGCAAGTCGTTTTAGAGTGGCTCCCTCAACGTGCTAATTTCGTATTGTTACATCCTGGCTTCCGTGTAGAGGTTCAGTTCGGTTCATATGGACCCACTGACGACATGAAGGGTAAGTGACGACTTTTGCTATAGATATTATGCTTCTTCTGAGGGATATGTTAAGTGCTGATTATGTCTTTGTGCTTTATAATTATTGTATTATCTCTCCTGTATAATGTTTTGTCATCTTAGTCTTTTTTATCTCTTCTTCGGTCTCTCTCTTCTCTCTCTCTCTCTCTCTCTCTCATCTCTCTCCTCTCTCTCTCTCTCTTCTTTCTTCTCTCTCTTCTCTCTTCTCTCTCTCTCTCTCTCTCTTTCTCTTCTGGATTTTTTAATATTTTTATTTCCATAGATACATAACAAGTACCACCTCTCTCTTCTCTTAGATAATCCTTACGTGAATTTTTCCTCCCCAGGTGCGAAAAATTCATCACGAAGTCCAGTCCTTTTCTGAGCTCGAGAGAAATCACTTGAGCCTCATTCTCTCCAACTCTCACCATGCTCTTGATGGCCCTGCCCCGTTGCTGCCAAACGCTGTGGAGATTGCATGTTGCCACTGCCAACCCCCTAAGGAATTACCCAAGGATACGGGTTCGATTTTATTTTTGTGTGTGATTTTATGTGTTGTGATCTTTTTTGTCATTTTTTATCTCTCTCTTTGTGTGTCTCTCTCTCTCTCTCTCTCTCTCTCTCTCTCTTCTCTCTTCTCCTTCTTCTCTCTCTCTCTCTCTCTCTCTCTCTCTCTCTTCTCTCTCTCTCTCTCTCTCTCTTCTCTCTCTCTCTCTCCTCTCTCACTCTCTCTCTCACTCTCTCTCCCTTCTCTCTCTCACTCTCTCTCTCACTCTCTCTTCTCACTCTCACTCTTCTCTCTCACTCTCTCTCTCTCTCTCTCTCTCTCTCTCTCTCTCTCTCTCTCTCTCTCTCTCTCTCTCCTCTCTCTCTCTCT